TTTCATTTTCTCTTCCTCCAACACTTTTTGAGCTTCCAACAATTCTTTCTTCATATTTTCAATCTCATTTTCTGCCTCATGTTTACGTTTTTTCTCCTCTTCAAGTTGTTGCTTTACATGCAGTAATTCCTTCCTTAGTATTTCGGCTTCAGCCATTACATTTGCAGCTTCTTGTGTTGCCAACTGCATTTTCCTTCTTTCCTCTTCAAAAGCTTCCTGCACCTCCTGTAATTCCTGTATCACATTTCCTGCCTCCTTCTTTGCAGTTTGATATTTATTTTTGGCTTCTTGTGCTGTGGTTTTCTGTTCCTCCAATGCTTTTTGAGCTTCCAACAGTTCTTTCTTCATGTTTTCATTCTTGTTTCTGCCTGTTGTTTTCCCATTTTCTCTCCTTTAAGTTTGAGACCCACATGCAGTAATTCCTGCAATACTACTTCAGTTTCAAACTGTGAATTTTTAGCTTCTCCTCTTGATTTTTCTGCCTCTTCTTTAAATTTGACATTTTCAGCCTGTATCATTTGAAATTCTTCTTGCATGTTAATCAGCTGTACTGTATTGTATGGTGAAGCACTCGCCGATCCTCTTCTCGATCTCCCTTGATTCATTTTGGCCTTTTAAACAAAGGCACCAACGTATTGTAGAGGAGTGAAGTGAAGTTTTCGATGTTTTTCGTCAACTGTTGTTTGTCCTGCACAGAGATGCTGCTGTAGATGTGTCTCTAGCTGTGTCTGAATACAATGAAAAATGCTATAACTAAGTGCTTGTGTTGCACAGTTCTACTAAACATTCCATTTCATGCATGCTCCGCCACATGGTCAGGTGCTGCATCACCAAAAGCTGCTCCCGTTGCCTAGCAATAACAGCTGTTTACTTTTTGGGGTCTGGTTCATTATTTGATAAAGAAAACATGTCCAAGTATTGGGTGCTGAGGCTCAGCGCATATTCTAGCCTGCTGTGTGGGTGGGCAGCTAGAAATCACTGGTGGGCAACATGAGTGAGGAGAAAACTGGAGCAGCCAAGCAGGAGCTGCAGGTTGCTGGTTTGAGTCTCTGTTCAGATGCTGGTGTCTCCTCTCTCTGAGATGTCTGCAAACAGTCCAGATAAAACAATAAGGATAATAAACAAACACGTGACTAAAATAACAATTATGACTCTGATATGTTTCATGTGTAGCAGGATGGCCTTTATACAGCAGTCGCTGCAAGCATCCACATCGCCACACTTACTTTCTTTAAGCAGGCGTGCTGGGCTCCTCCTAAGGAAAGTTTGAAACTTCATTTCCTTCATGCTGGTGAACTTTTACCAAATATTTTCATCAAAGCTTCTCCATCACTGACAGGGATTGTTTGGATCTTCACACTCATCTCCACCAACCCTAAAAAATGAGTCTCACTTTGCTATAATGCAGGGGTGTCTCCATATTCCACAAAAGTCTATGCAAACATGTAACAGTATCCCATATTCATATAAATATTATTGATATTATAACAAAAGCTGTCACCAACACAATTGTCCCAAGTGCTTTTTTTAAATGGGATTTTCAACTAGAGGATTTCCCTATAGCTTCATGTTTTTTAATATTTGTACACAATAACAGAATAATTTCAGAAAAACACAAAATGACTGGTGTCAATATTATTTGCCCCACAAAAAGGTCGAATATAAAAAAAAATTGCAAATATTGCACAGTTAAAGAAAGCACTACTGTTCAGTTGTTCCCGCCCTCCTTTGTCCCCCTGTTTCGTCTCCCTCTCCCCTCCAACGAGGAGTTTGATGGCGTGTGAGACAAAGGAGTTTTTAAGCCTGTTGGTTCTTGTCTTTGGGAGAAGCAACCTGTCGCTGAACAGGCTCCTCTGATTATTTACCACCGTGTGCAGAGGATGCCCAGCATTGTCTATAATGTCCAGCAGTTTCTTTAATGTCCTTTTCTCTGCCACTGTCACCAAAGTGTCCAGCTTCATGCCGACCACAGAGCCAGCCTTCCTGATTCGTTTTTCCAGCCTGGATGAGTCCTTCTGTGCTGTGCTGCTCCTGAGGAAGTACAGTCTGCTTGGGATCAATGTTAGTTTTGAAATTGGTTTATAACTGCTAAGCAGAGAAGCGTCAAGTTTAAGGGGTTTTAACAGTGGTGAATGACAGCATTCTTATAATAATCAGGGACCTGACCAGAAACCAATGAAACATTGATAATTGTAAGCACACAGGGACAATAGACTGAAGGACATTTTTAAACAAAGATCCAGGTAAAATATCAAGAGGGCAGGAGGATGATTTCATCGAATCAACTAATTTGACCAGCCCAGGTAAGCACTGTTAAAAAACTTCCTAAAATAACAGGCCTAAGTGAATTTGGAGCAGACAACAGGTACACAGAAGGAGAGATATTGTTCCTCACATTGCTAACTTTTTCAACAAAGACAGAAAAGAGTTTTCACAATCTTCATTTGATGAAATTGGGACAGCAGATTGAGCAGGAGCAACAATATCACTAATGGTGTCAAATAGTACCTTGGGGTTACCTCTGCTCTTGAGACTAGGTCTGAGAAATAGGCAGCCCTCACATCTCGAACTGAAGTGTTAAAAGAAACTAAAAGGTCCTTTAAATGAAAGAGATGAACATATAAACGAGTTTTCCTCCACAAATGCTCAACTTTACAACAGGAACGCTTTAAACAACAAATGCTGTCATTTATCCAGGGGACATCTGTGAAACAGGAGCTAGTCTGGTTTTGACAGGACCAACATTGTCTAAGATAGAAAGACAATGATTATTAAAAAAAATGTTAATAGATCAACATCATTAAAGAAAGGTAAAGCAAAATTAAAAACATCAGAAAATTTAGCAGCAATAGAGGAATTTAGGATGCGAGAGCTAACCACATATCGAACAGGAGATAGGGACAGATGTAAAGACAAGTTAAAAGAATACAACAATGGTCCGAAATAAAAATGTCCTCAGAACTAATAAAATCAATGGTTAAACCTAAGGTAAAAGCAAGGTCCAGTGTGTTCCTTGGTGTGTGTGTGGGGCCAGACACATGCTGTGTAAATGAAAAGAATCCATGACCTCTGTGAAAGAGGTCAGAGTCATCATCACTGTGTATATTAAAATCCCCGACTTCAAGATGGAGGATAAAAAGTCACTGAACTGTTTAAAAGTTGACCATTTAGGCCAGGTGGATGATACATTACAGCACACTAAATCTTTATTCCAATTTTAACCAGCTGTAATTCAAACGATGAAAAATGTTCGACCATTACTGAGCAACAGTGAAACCGGCTTTCAAACACCGCAGCGAGACCTCCTCCTCGGCCGGACATCCAAGGCTGACTGATGAAGGAGTACCCGCCTGGCAAAGTTCAATGAGGGATGAGTAGTCACCATCGCGCTGTCCCAAAATGTACCACTGGTGACGTCTGATGAAGATCCATACACCGGCAGCGGAGGATGGAAAATGCCGTCGCAGGAGGATAAGGTATCCAGACCATCCATAGAGGATCGAATAGATTGGAGCATCAGGCGATCATAGACTAAGGGAGCCAACACATCAGTGACAAAAAAGGAGAACAGAAAGGCCGAAACAAAACTGCACTAGAGCAGAGCAAGACAACTGCAGCCGGCAGCGGCAAAGCCAAACACAGGCGCCATCATACCGGAAGCTGTTAAACTCTAACATCTGGTACACTAGCTGCACAGTCGCTCAGAGGAAAGCACTCCAGAGGTCATTAACACTGCCTAAAGGATCATGGGTGCCCTCTCCCCACGCTGGAAGATCTACACAGTAACCGCTGTCTTAAAAAGCCCAGAACATTATAAAAGATACCTCACATCCTGCCCACTCCCTATTTGAACTGTTGCCTCTGGCAGATGGTACAGAGCACTCAGTGTAAGGACAAATAGACTCAAACACAGCTTTTACCCAACTGCAATAACATGTCTTAATGCTGCTACAAAATAATGGTCATCACGCTGCTCTTGAAATGATCTATGCACTGGCTGAGGTATGTGTGTGTGAATGTATGTGAACGTCTGTTTATACTGTTAGTGAAATGAATGAGGTGTATGATGTCTTGTGCATGTGGGCTCAGGCCATTGTCTAGGTATATTATTCTTATTAGCACTTTAAAATGTTTATTTTTGATTTTAATACAACTTTTTATTTATGGATGATGCACTAATCGGAACCACTTTCAATTTCGTTGTACCTGTGACAATGCCAATAAAGACATTCTATTCTATTCTGTAGCACCCTCAAGGACTGACGTAGGCAAGATGTAGAGTAATAAAACAAGGTTTATTCTGGTCTTGACAACCAATGAGAACTGCTAACGGAAGAAAATAATAATAAAAACATAACATCGAAATGCATTCTTGTACTTTGTGTCAATCAATAAAAAGTTATTAATCACAGAAAAAAACATTTAAAGTACACAAACCTTGTGAGCGGACATCCAGGAGGGGTTAAATAGTCCTTTATGGCCTTAGTATCTTATTCTCTATCTTCTTCCTTACGTGTTCTTCTGTTAATCTAATTTTGAATATTACTTTCTCCATGTGTGGAGCTAACCGAGAGCTGCAGCATACATACACCATTGCTATGTCCCAATTCATTGTTTTCCTCTTTACATTCTTTTAATGCAACAGTGATCTAAACTCTAAGTACTAGAAAACCTAACTAGAAGCTGAATCTGTTAACTAAGAGTTCAAAACAAGAACAAGGCACAGAGTCAAACTCTTACTGGAGTCAAGATTAACACGGAAAAAACCTTAATACCTCAAACACTACTAAAAAGAAAAAGACTGTTTATCAATCTGTGCCACAAAGAGTTAAGGCAGAAGGGGTGTGAAAGGTGTACCTAATAAAGTGTCCAGTGATTTATAGTACAGTTTCAAAATCTGTTTCATAAGAAAGAAAAGTGAAAGTTAAAAGAGCTTAGGATGTGGTGACTGTAACTTCACACTTTGGTATTTGGGCTGCAGACTGTCTACATCTCAGTGAGGGGGAGAGATTAGCACAGCAAAGGTACGCTCCTTCAGATGTCTGTTTGCTGTTGGTCATTATTTTGATTTAAGGCAAACATTAATAATTCCTTTAAATCTAAAATAAATGCTTTATGTTCCAGTTATGGGAGGATTGTTTTCAAGAGCTCCTCCAGTAAAATGTAAGTTTGGTCAGAGCTGCTATTTCCATCCAGTGAACATCAGTTATTGTCCAATGATGTCATTCTTTCTTTAACATCTGTTGTCAGTGCTTGATGCACCATGGAGGAAGCACTTTAACTGGGGGTAAGCATTTACAGGCCTCTGAGAAACATTTGTTATTGTTGATTATCACTTCCTGTTTCAGCCCATCACTTGTTCAGTGTCCAGAATGTGATGTAATGTTTGTTGTCTCCTCTGAGCAGAAATAAAGAGGACGATCTACAGTATGTGAACAGCTACAAGCCTCAGACTAAAGAACAGCAGCTCAGGATTCTTCTACAAGGCCCAGTTGGAGCTGGAAAGTCCAGTTTCATCAACTCTGTTAAAAGTGTCCTACAGAACAGAGCATGCAGACAGGTCTCCTGTCCGAAGCACCTCCCATTCATCTTGCACAAAAAGGTATGAAGCATGATTGTGGTGATAAGACTGAGTAAGAATTGTTCTTTTTTCCATTGTTTAAAAGTCTGTACGGAGTTTTAAAAAAAATTGATGTTGCTGTCAGCGATGGCTCATTCAATAAAAAGTAGTCAGTGCTTCCCACTTACTCTCTCATAGTCAGCTGATTTCTTAAGAAGAATTCCAGAATAATCAGATGAAGTGGTAGAGATTTCCCCAGGAATAGGTAGTGGTGACTGGAGTGAACATGGGTGATGAGGAGGTGCTGAGTAGGTTGAGTGTTATGGAGAGAAATGGCTGTGGTGAGTCTGTACATCAAAAGAGGGAGGAGCACTGGGTGATGTTCAGTACTGTGCAAAAGTTTTAGGCAGGTGAGGAAAAAATGCTGTAAACAAAGAATGCTTTCAAAAATGGAAGTGTTAATCATTTATATTCATCAATCAATGATTGAAACGTTTTTCACAAAACTTGTTTTGATGTTTCACTTCAGCTTTAGTTGTGTATAATAACCTAGGTCAGATAATTCCATTAAAAATGTTCCAAAACGAAGTAAATGAATATATTTTTTTTTATTGCATATTTTAAACCAAAATGATTTTAAAAAATGAGATGAGAGATAGCTGTCATTTGTCAGTTGCAGGTCTTTTGCCCACAACCGAGATGACAGACCTTGCCGACCGTACATACAATACACAAACATCACATTGGGGAGACAGGTCAGGCTAGGTAGCGAGGGAAAAAAAAACATCGAAATGTGTAACACAGAAGGATAATGCAGGAATGCACAGATATCAACACACCATAGCACAATAAACACAGACAGCAACATGGGAAAGAGTTCCAGTGTGTCCATCTGATCTGGGACCGCTGCAATCTTTCGACTGCGCCTCCAGCTGACCCGATGTCCACATCAGAGGGAGGTAAGCGTTGGAGGTGGCGTTGGATCCGGGTAGGGAGGGTGATGCGTCAGTGAGTGCTTATCAGTATCAGTATATGTATGTGTGTGCGTGTCCATAGTTCAGCTGAGACAGTGTCCTTCGCCCCGCCAGCTAAGTAAACAGTCTCCAGCCAACCAGGTGCCTTGTAGGGAATGGAAGGAACAGACTCAACACAGTCGTTATCAGGGAGTTTTTGTTCGGCTCCAGCCTTGAGCCCACAGCTGGCGCCGAAGGGGTAGCCGCTTATGATGGTAATTTTTCTTTGTGACAACTCATGAGAATTTCAAAGCTGTTCTTTAACACTCCGACACTGTCTCTCAATCTCCGTTGAGAACGCGAGCTTCCCGATGATGGTATCAAACTTGCTGGTGTTTCATCTTTGCCCAAACAGCCGAATCTGAGAACTCACAACTGCAGTGAGCTGTTCTGCAATGTAATCCAACTTTCGCTCAGGCTGTATTTGAGCAGGCCTCTCCTTGATCTATCCATATATTCAGGTGTTATTCTGAGTATTTACGGCAGCTGTAAGCGTCTCCAAGGTCTTAACCATGCTGCTTTCGAGCCCGTTCTCAGAAGTCGCGCCTCGTCCATCGTTTCAATCCCATGGGCAGCCTTGGGGGTTTTGAACAGCCGTTCCGCTTCTAATTCTCCGATAAGTCAGGGCCAAGCCAGCTCAGATCAGCAAGAACCCTGTTTCATGTTCCGAATAGTAGATATCTTCAGCGTCCTCGATCGACAGTCCCGCCAGGCACACGACCCTCCATTCCTGCCACCCGTCCATCGTGTATCCGGCAGGGAAAGTCCCTCCAGGGCACTCGGGCTCTCCCGAGCCCAGACTTCTCGTTGAGAAAGGGTGTCAATAGCATTCAGAGACCAGTTGATCAAATCCATAATTCTCTTTAGGTTTAGAACAGACTGTGAGAGAGTGTTCCAGGGAAAGTAATACAAAAAACACGAGACTAGACAAGGACATAAGCAGGGAAGATAAGGGAGAGGAGAAAAAGTGTGTCTGCCTCCTCCGAGAGCCAAAGAGAAAGAATGTAAAAAAGGCACCCAGCAACTGCACGAACACGTGCAGAGGTCCATTTCTGGGACTCCTTTAGCTGAGGTGAACTTACAGGACATTGTTGGTAATGTTTTTGTTGCAGTCATGATGAAAATAAGACTTACAGGTCAGCACTACTCCACACTCAATGACTCTGATATTCTGGTCCACAGTATAAAGCCTTCAAGATCCAAAAGGGAGACTCAAACTGCTATTACCCTTTTGTCTTGAATGACATGGCGGGACTGAACGCCAGCAGCAGAAAAATCAGACAGTTGCATGTGAAGGACGTCAAACGGGCCCTGAAGGGACACATCAAAGAAGGTTACAGGGTACAGTTGCTGTATTTCTGATATTGAGTTTAAAGAATTCATTCATTTGGTCACACATCGATACATTCAGTTTGTTTTTCAGTTCAATCCTGAACGTAAACTGTCCAAAGATGACCCACACTACAACAGCAGTCCTTCAGACAGCGACAAAGTGCACATTCTGGTTTTTGTCGTTGATGCCAGCACTATACCTAACATGAAGCAAGAGGACATGGAGGTAATCGAGGACATCAGAGATGAAGCAGATGAAATGGGTAAGAGCACCTTAAACAGAATCAGGATTATCAGTGTTTTTAGTGACACCAGTAGAAGTGAAGTGATCTGCAGTCATTGAGCAACCCTGTGTTTGCTCTCAGCTCACGCTCACTCTGAGTGAAACTTCAGGTAAAACAGTGATGAGACCTCCAGGAGAGCTCATCCCTGTTTGAATGTCATGCTGCACTAACACGGATCTAATCCTATGTTCTGCATGTCAGAGATAGAAATTAGAAGTAAATTTATAAAACATTCAATTCAATTTTATTTATACAACGCCAATTCACAACAACAGTCGCCTCAAGGCACTTTATATTGTAAGGTAGAACTCACAATAATACATACTGAGAAAAAGCCCAACAATCATATGACCTCCTATGAGCAACAGTGGGAAGGAAAAACTCTCTTTTAGCAGGAAAAAACCTCCAGCAGAACAAGGCTCAGGAAGCGGCGGCCATCTGCTGTGACCGGTTAGGGTGAGAGAAGGAAGACAGGACAAAATCATGCTGTGGAAGAGAGCCAGAGATTAATAACAGGTATTCATGGGTCATGAGCTGAGCTTTCCTCTCTGGCCCTACATGAGAAATTCATTGTCACGAATTCCAGGATGAAAATGGATTCTGCTCTGACACTCGACGTTCGTGAAAGCACAGCAGGAATATTCTGTTTTTTTTTTCAGTTGAGGCCGCTGTGAAAAATCATCTTCTGTCCACCATGTGACCTCGAAACATTAATACATGCTTTTATAACCATCTTGATTACTGCAATGAGCTTTTTATCGGGTTCAGCCAGGCCTCCACTCAGTCCTCAGTCCAGTTTCAGCCTCACTTCACTGGCTTCCAGTTTGTTTCCAAATCCATTTTAAGATCCTTTTATTTATCTTTAATGGTTGTGGCCCATTTCACCTACTGCACCCGTACGTCCCGCCTCGCTCTCTCAGATCAGCAGACCAGATGCTTTTACTCTTTCACTCAGAGGTCACAGGGCTTTCACAGTCTCCACTGCACGTCAGGCAGCTCCTGTACTCGCTGTTGTAAAAACATCATTTAAACACACGTTTTTTTCTCGACCCATATTTATGTTTTGTGTTTCCTCAGAGGTCCCACAAATAGTCCTTTTCACCAAAGTTGATGAGGCCTGTCCGAAGATCAGCAGAGATATCAGGAACGTCTACAAAAGCGTATCTCTAAAGGAAAAGGTGGATTAGTTTAAGTATTTCAGTGCAAGCTTTGGTTTGGTCCAATCTCTCACTTCTAAACTAAAGTGTTGTGATTTTCATATGTAGATTACTAAGTTCAGCGCAGACACGGGGATCAACATTGTCTACATCTATCCAGTGAAGAACATCCACTCAGAATCTGACCTGAAGGATGGCGCTGATGTTCTAATTCTGCACGCCCTCAGACGCATCATCGAAAGAGGACATGACTTTCTCAACAAATCCTAAATCCAGATGTTCTCAGTTTACTGAGTTTATTTCTAGTTTCTTATTCTTTCTAAGCTTTTTAGCCCCACCTTTTCTCTTTCACACACTAACCTCTTTCAATAAGGTGCATGAGCACACAGGAAAGGTAGGGCAGGGGCCAGTTAAGCTAAGAGATTTGATTGGTCAATCCAGTGTCAGTAATGAAGATGCTGTTAGTGCCAGGAGCAGTCACAGTTCTGCATGAAATGATGACTCGGACAGAGCTGAGAGCCAAACTCAAATCATTTTTATTCTTTTTTTTATATTGAACTTTTTGATCCCAGCTTTTAGTTATATATGACATTTGTATTCAGTGTATGTGTGGTGTCTAAAACATGTTTCCTCTGCTCTGATGAGTAAACACAACTTAATGAAATGAACACCTTAGTGTTAAATTTGATAGAAAAATGTTTGTATGTTTAACATTATTGATCCATTAATAAAGCTGCAACAAGCTGATAAAAAACGACTCCTTTTTGTAAAGGTCATTTCTGAGTTCATTTCATGTCTTCATTGGAAAGTGAAGATAGAGCGAGAAACGTGTTACGACCTTAATTTGGAGGAACAGAAAGTAATATTTTTTTAAAAATGGGCCTCACAAAAACTGCAGCTCTGAGAAGTTCTGAACAGAGATGTTCTGATGAAGTTACAGACACTGATGGAGGACAGAGACTGAATGACTCATCTGCAGTTCTCAGCTCAGTCAGACTTTAACAGCACAGGAAGTTGGAAGCAAGCAGGTTTACATTTTTCACTCTTCACCGAGAGAAGCTTCACAATTTAGACATTAGAAACTCTCACAGTCACTGTTGTGTCAACAGTGCACTCCAGCACTGACCTGTATGTATATATGTGCCTGTGGAGGGGTCCAGTCATGTGTAAGTGAACATGTGAAACTGTCAAGCTGTTTGCTGTTGTGAACTCAAACACCACACCTGTGTTTCAGGAATGAAAGCTGCTGACATGAAGCTGTGTCTGCTGAGCTGGTTTTATCATTGTTCTTGCTGAACTGTTACCAGCTCACAAAAACGAAACCAAGAACACAGGAAACAGGAAAGAGTACACACCCTGTGCATCCTGTGGTTACACAGCTTTAGCTTTCTCTACTTCTCTGTTCAAAGACAAACTGTCTCATGCATGTGTTAGAAATGATTAGAAGGTTTGCCTTTAAAGCTCATCTGGGTCTGCAGCATCACAGCAGCTGAGCCTTAAACCTAAAAGTGTTTTGTTTTTTTTGTTTTTTTTTAGCTTTTGTCTTCAGGACCCCTCAGAGAAAACTTCTTCACTTCACACATTTATGGTCTCACTTTTATGTGAAGTCATTCTATGTAATGCATTTCTTTGTTGTCATTCATAATATTTTTCCTCATTGAATCATCTGCCTACATCTCCCCCTATACCAGCATCCTCCTTCATCACATCCATAGATCTCCTCTGATGTCTTCCTCCTTTCCTCCCTCCTCTGCACATGTCCAAACCATATGAGCCTCTCTGACTGTCTCACTGTTCTCATGCATGTCCTGCACCACCCTCACATATTTGCTCATGCTGTACCACAGTTCCTGTTAGTTGGTGCTCATGTTCAGAGGCAGGGTCTGAAAAAATTGAAAATCATGTAAAAGATTCCAGAATAATTTTCTCTTGAACAGAATATCTCTTTATTGTCATTGTACAAGTACAACAAAACTGTGGGTGCCCCACGCCAACTGTGCCACCAACCGATGTAGGCAATGTTTCACAAGAACTTTGAATAATCAGCAGGTCGTGAGTTTGATCTTAGTGTGCTGCTAAAGAGCTCCAGCAGAGGGCAGCATGCTTTTACTTTCTGCTCTTTCCTTTTGGTGCTGCTGGATTTCAGGATTTCATCTCAAAAGATTCATCCGTGATGGACCAAAACCCGCTCCAGACCCTGAGGAGCTTAATACAAGAATAACAGACAAACATAAAGTCTGAACCTTCCGAAATCTTTAGAGTCGTTCTGATTCTCAGGGGAAAAAGAATAAAGAACAAAACGCCTTCAGCCAATGTGTTTGAGCATTAAGGTCAAACAAGAAACCTGAAGACTGACTCTTGTCTGCAGAGACTGGACTGCAAAAACAGATTTAGGTCTACATTCAAAAATTGGTCCTTTTGAATTAGATCTTTGCAAAAATAATTCAATTTACATCAACATAACTGAATATAATCTTACATTACAGGGTCAACGTTGGCATATTTAACATGAACATAAAGCTACGACTAGGGATGGGTACCGGTGTCCGGTGCCATGATGGCACCGGTTCTGACATAAACGGTAGTAACCAGACCGAAAAGCAGCGCACATTTCGGTGCTTTATTTCGGTGCTTTATTTTTCCTGAGCTGTGATACACTTCTAGCCAATCATTTTACGTTTCCCAGGATAGTAGGCGGGGCCAGGTACGTACGTTCAGTTAGAGCAGAGCTACAGATTAAAAATGTCCAAGGCGAAGCGGTCAAAAGTCTGGCTGTACTTCACAGTAAAAGATGCAAACTCAGCAGCAACAAGTGCTTTAAGCTGATACTGTGATATTGTCAAAGGAGGTAACACCTCAAATCCGATGAAACACCTGGCGACGCATAGCGGTTTTTTTTAAAAGCCGAGAAATGCGCCGTATTTGATAGCTTGCTGCGAGACCTCACACTGTGCACGTTGGGTGGGTTGCCAGTTATCGGACCGGAGCAACATCCCCCCAAAACCCGAAGAATAGAGTCCTGGCCCCTAGCCCTGCCAGTGTAGCAGAAATGATGACGGATGATGATGCAGCAGAAGCCGTTCTTCTCTGCGTGAGTCGCTTAATGTTGTCCGTGTGTAATTTACGTTGAGTAGGCTAACCACGTTATTACATTAATGCATGTAAGGTGAACTAGCAAACATCATCATAGCTACATGCGGCTGTCCTCTTGTTTGATGGCAGATACTCCCTTCACCCTGGACAAAAAGGCTAAAATGACCAAAGAAAAAGTGGAAAACAGCTGAACATGAGAGGATTTTGGACAAAGTTTGTGTTTTTTTTCCATTGTTTAAGCACTGCTTCCAGCCAAGAGTGATACCATATATGCCTCATAGCTGCAGAAAAGGCTAACATTGCTATCTTTTTACAAAAAAAAACAAAACAGCTGAACATGAGAGGTTTTTTGACAAAGTTTGTGTTCTCCATTCTTTAAGCACCGGTTTGAGCACCGTTTAAGCACCGGCACCGTTTCAAAAGTACCGATTTGGCACCGGTATCGGATAAAACCTAAACGATACCCATCCCTAGCTATGACCAATAAATTGAAATCTGGTTTAACACAGCTGTGTGTTATTAGATGTGTTTCCAGCCTGTTACAGTGAATCATCATCACAAGACAAAGTCTTTATGCGGAGCTAAGGTCAGTAACTGAAGCATGTGAGCATAACCTGTTTATGTCCACAAAACCTTTAATATTCATTAAATGTGATACATTAAACTGGACCGGCTTCACTCACTCTCAGGTTGAACTTGAGGTGACATCATTAAATGTCTCCTGATGTTTTTTATAAAGTGAAAGAATGAAAATCATCACTTAAATATTTGCTAACTGTCTTTAAAAGTAACCTAATCAATCAATCGACCAGTGGAAATGCAGATTAATAATTACTGATGTGTGCTGTGTTGTATCTAACCTGTGCATGTGTTGGTTAATGTATGTCTAGCCTGTGTGTTGGTTGTTGTATGTCTAGCCTGTGTGTGTTATGGTAAATGGTAAATGGCCTGTATTTATATAGCGCTTTACTAGTCCCTAAGGACCCCAAAGCGCTTTATATATCCAGTCATCCACCCATTCACACACACATTCACACACTGGTGATGGCAAGCTACATTGTAGCCACAGCTGCCCTGGGGCGCACTGACAGAGGCGAGGCTGCCGGACACTGGCGCCACCGGGCCCTCTGACCTGGTTGTTGTATCTCTTGTCTGTGTGTGTGTGTGTGGTGTGTCGGTTGTTGTATCTCTTGTCTGTGTGTGTGTCGGTTGTTGTATCTCTAACCTGAGTGTGTGATGGTTATGTTTTCAGGTTGTTGTCAGTTTGATTCTGGGTGTTGTGTTTCCAGCAGCAGAGCAGAGCGCTGGTTTCCATCACAGCGTTCCTGAGAGCTGCTGCTGCTTTTTGACCCAGTTTCTCTGCTTTACTTGACTGGGCTGCTCCCAGTGCTGTGGTGGAAGGTCCCTGATGGACCTCCTTCATGCTCGCATTTCTGCACGCTGAGGTGGAGACGTCCTCTGAGGCAGATGTTTCATTGAGGGCAGAGCAGCAGCTGTGCATGGGAAACCTTCATGTGGATGATTTCTTCTCTTCTCTGAGGCGCACACTTCAGATAGTTTCACTAAAAGGAAGCTGCAACAGCACAAACACGATCCAGAGCTCCAGTTCAGCTAGGTGAAGGTTAGCAGACAGCTAGTTAGTACCGGCGCCTGCGTCACCATCCAGGTTAAGGAGGCCACGCCCCCTATTAACACAAACTTTAAGCCTCAATTCAGTTTAAATGGGTGACTTATAAAAACATCCTCCCCCGTACAGGTAAAGGTGGAAATGGTCTACAGAGACCAAAAAATCAGTAAAAATGTATCAGGATGTAAACATGTTTGTTTCTGCTGTTAGCTTTACCATGGGGACTGACTCACTGCTGCCCCTGTTGGACACCAGAGGAACTGCAGGTTTGGCCCTAAAGGTGAATAATAAAAACTTAATCTCCAAACAGAATAATCCAGAGCTGGACTCGTATACACAGACTTTTTTATTGAAATAAATAAATGAATATAATACATAAATACATAAATATATTTACTCCTTTTAAATATTTAAACATGTAAACGATGCTTCTTTCTCATTGGTGCTCTTTTTACTAATATCCTCTGGTCATTAAAATAAAGAAGGTTTAACTCTGCTGCTCGTCTGAAGAGTACAGTGCAGTGAGGAAATGTGCACACAGGTCTGAGTTCAACTGGGATTTCAGGAGGGTGAAATGGTCCCTGTTTATCAGGCGGTGAAGTTTAAGAGCATGGAGAGAGCAGGACGCTGAGCATGATGTGGAGCTGTGAGAGTATTTTTAGTTTTGACAATAAAAGGGTCACCATAGCGTCTTCTCTCAGTCCCAGCCTTCACATTATTTTAATACAGCTGAAAAAACTAAAATGAGAGAAAAACCCTGCAAAAAGGATCCTAAGAAGGTTTTGAGCCATCAGTCAGACTCTTTCCTGGAGGGATGAACACCAAGCTTTTCTCACTTGGTGTTTTCATGGTTTTGAGATCGGCTAAAATCTCAGACTGGGTGAGATTGGCTGATTGTGAAGGCCTCTTATTCGCTTCATCCTCATCTTCATCAGCCTCAGTGAGGACTCATGGACGGAGAGGCCGCTGTGATCTGGTGACCCTCAGTGACTCGTTGCTCTAAGAGGACAAATAGACCCAAAACACGGC